TGGGTGGTGCAGTCAGTTGAGAATCAGACTCTTGGTTTCTGCTCAGGAAGTGATCTCTAGTCCTGAGATGGAGCCCCACATTGTGGTCCACACTGGGTGCAGAGTCTGCTCAAGATTCTCTCCTTCCGCCCCTTCCCCACCCTCATTCTCATGGGCCTGCTCGCACTCTCACTATCTCTAAAATGAATAAATAAAATCTTTTTTTTTTAAAGATTTTATTTTATTTATTTGACAGAGAGAGATCACAGTAGACAGAGGCAGGCAGAGAAAGAGAGAGAGAGGGAAGCAGGCTCCGCACTGAGCAGAGAGCCCGATGCGGGACTCGATCCCAGGATCCTGAGACCATGACCTGAGCCGAAGGCAGCGGCTTAACGCACTGAGCCACCCAGGCGTCCCTAAAATCTTTTTTTTAAAAAAGATTTTATTTCTTTATTTGACAGACAGAGATCACAAGTAGGCAGAGATGCAGGCAGAGAGAGAGGGGGAAGCAGGCTCCCCACTGAGCAGAGATTCCCAACGCGGGGGCTCGATCCCAAGACCCTGAGATCATGACCAGAGATGAAGGCAGACACTTTAACCCACTGAACCACCCAGGTGCCCCTAAATAAATCTTAAAAAAAGAAAGAAAGTGCCGACACATGCTACAACATGGATGAACCTTGAAAACATTCTGCTAGGTGAAAAAAGCTGATTGCAGAGGATCACCTATTAATATGATTTTATTTATATTCAATGTCCAGAATAGGCAAATGCATAGAAAATAGAGTATAGATTAGTGGTTGCCAGGGGCTGGAGAGAGGGGGAAGAGGAGGGAACTGCTGATAATAAGTATAGAGTTTCTTTTTGGGTGATGAAACATTCTGAAGTTGCGTAGTGGTAATGGTGGTCCGGCTTTGCCAATATACAAAGAACCGCTGAACTATATACTTTAAACGGTGAATACTAAGGTGTGCGAGTTGTATCACAATTTTCAAAAGCATGAGGGCTACATGGTATTTCATACAGTGCTTATATGCCAGTTTATTCAGTCATTCCCCAGTTGATGCCCATCTGGGTTGCGTTTCAGTTTTTTTTTCCTATTTGAAACAATGCTGCAGTGAACATCCTTGAACATGTGGAAAAAAAAAAGAGAGAGAGAGAGAAAGAGAGAGAATATTTAGGCAGATCTTGGGCTCTCCCAGGCTGCCTCATATCTGGGCATATCCCTATGTGAGTCTGATTTAGAAAGTGTCACTTCCTCTGACACCAAGGCATGGTGCAGGGAAAAAGCTTTCACCCTCTTCTCCAAGCACTTTCTCAGAAGAAAAGACTTTGAAATGACCGTCATTTTGCTTTCTTCTATCATTCGAAGACCTATTATAAATTATATCAGCCCCTTGTTACCCTGAAGGGACAACCCGAGTGGGGGGACTTATGGTTTAGATCAGGGGTTGGCCTGTTTTTGTACCAGCTAAGAATGGATTTTACAGATGCACATTTGCGACTGATTTGATGATAGGAGACACTAGCTTTGAGCTCAAATTAAGCAAAATCTTATTCTCTGTAGCCCGCCCCCGCAAATTCCTTTTTTTTTTCCTTAGCAGACTTGTACTACCAAAAGCTTATACTCAATTACTATTGTTGTATTTTGAATTTTTTTTTAATTTTATTTAATTATTTGACAGAGATCACAAGTAGGCAGAGAGTCAGGCAGAGAGAGAGAGGGAGGCAGGCTCCCCCGCTGAGCAGAGAGCCCGATGCGGGGCTCGATCCCAGGACCCCCGGGACCATGACCGGAGCCGAAAGCAGAGGCTTTAACCCACTGAGCTACCCAGGCGCCCTGTGTATTTTGAATTTTATCAATAAAAAAAATTGTGGAAATTTTCTCTCATTTTATAACCACCCCTATAATATCCTCGGTTTTGCCTCTTGGCCCACGAATCCTAAAACATTCGCTATCAGGCCCTTTGTGGAAAGTTTGCTAATCTCGGTTCTACACACCAGAGAGATATCAGAAATAAATATTGTAAAGAAAAGCACTGTATAAAGATGGAATGGCCCCAAGCTACAATTACCTCTCAAAAATAACACAGCCTGGAAATGACAGAAATTTCAATCAAATTATCCAGGTCACAAAACGTTCTGCTGATTTAGTTTAGAGAAGTTAAGGGGAAAGAAAAAACACCGTTTATATCTTCTATAATAGGAAAGGAAAATGAATAGGAAATAGGGAAATGAAACAAATAGGAAATTATTCATGTATTTTTTGAATTGATGATGATAAAAATAATTATATAACAATAAGGACATGGATACGTATTGACTATGTAAAATATACTTACGTATTCCAGCCCTGAATAAGCATTTTATATAAAAGATCTCATTTAATCCTCATAAAAGCCCTGCAAGGTTGAAGTCAAGGTCATCCCCTGATACCAACTCCAGTCTGCCAGCAGCAAAAAATGGTACTTTGTCCAGAAAAAAAGAAGCAGCTGGAGCTAGCTGGCAAAGGGCCTTGACTGCTGTGCTGGGAAATAGCCTATATTCTGTTTCTTTTTACCAGGTTACTCTGTAGACCTAGAGGCCCTCAAGAATTTCCAGAAGGGGGGAAGGGTCAATTCTGTGTTTTGGGATGATAACAAGGATGGCTTTGGGAGATAACTCTTGAGGCCAAGAGGCCAGAGAGATACTTTTTCAACAGTCCAAGGAAGAACCAGTGAGGGCCTGGGATGGTGCACGCAGAGAAAAGAATTCCAGACACACTTCTTTTTCCGATTGGCCAATAGGTTGACAAAATGTAAATGGGGGCTGGGGAACAGGCAGTCAAAGGCAACTTCAAAGTTTCTGGTGGCAAAATGGGAGAACCCAGATAAGAAGTTTGTAGTAGGAGAAGGAGTAGGGAGATACTTAAAATTCCTGGGTAGTATCTAGGGAGGTTGTGTAGGACAATCGGAAATGTGTGTCCAGAAGTTCAGAAAGACATCTGATCAAGAGAGAGAGATTTGGAACCATGAGGAAATGGTTGCCTTTCAGAGGGGGTTCGAGAAGGAAGGGACAAAGGAAAAGATGGGAGAGAAAGGAAATGTTAGTAAAAACTAACATTTTTAAGGGTTGAGTATGGGGCAACTGAGAAGGAAGTGGGGGGGGGTGTATAGGACATGCAAGACCTAGTGGTATTATCCCGAAAAGAGTTTCAAGAAGGAGGGAGAAATCAATGGAAGATTACAGAGCCATCTCCGTAGAAAAGAAGGGCTCTAAACAGGCAATTGGATTTGGTCCTTAGAAGGTCACTGGTGACGTCTGAGAAAGCAGGGAGTGACAGCATCAGCCTGAGGAGGGATGGGGAAGAGGGATGAGGAAGAGAGGCTGGGACAGTGGAAGTTTTTTTTAGGATAGAGAAAATCTGTGAGGGAGAAAGGGACACTGAAGATGCAATAAAGACTCTCCCCTTTTTCTATCCCAGATCTCACATCCTGGCTGAGCAAGAGACAGAATACTCCCGACCTCACCCCCCCAAAGTAGACGTTGGCTGGAAAATATTCTCACTGCTGGGGATGTTACAGGGAGAGGGGACATGAGTTCTCCTCTAGGTGTTCGGTCACAAACTTTTCATCTCTTATTTCCTCCATCTTCTGTGAGGCTCTGAACACCTGACATTCCAATGTAGAAAAAAATTTTTAAATTCAAGTATAGTTGACATACAATAGAATGTGTACTGAATTTTACAAGCCAACTCCTGTATTTTAAACCTACAAGTTATTAGAGAGGTAAATATGATGACACATTATTGATTCTTACAAACACAGACTATACTTTGTATTTGATGAAATTCCCAGCGGCTAGTCATACCCCTCCCCCCTCATTGATATGTATGATACCTATAACATGGAGTTCCCCAAAGTGTGTGAATCAGGCAGAAATTCCGATGATGAAATCTGCTCCTCCCCACGTCAGGTCAAACACGGTCCTCAATTCTTCAGCTCTCTCGAGACTTGCTTGGGGGAACTAGTCAGTGGAAACAGCAACCACGACAGTGGTTTCAAGATGGAAGGTGCTATGAAAGTGCTAATTATTAGTGGGGTTTTTTTGTTTGTTTGCTTGTTTGTTTCTGGCCTTGTATTCAAATAGTCTTCAGCAGTGGCTCGCGAAGTGTGAATATCGGACAGCAGCCGCAGCAGCATCACCTGGGAAGCTGTCAGAAATGCAAGTTCCTCTCGCTCCAGACCTCCGGCCTCAGCAGCCAGGGGGTGGGGCCCAACCACGTGCATCTCACCCGTGCACTCAAGGTGGGGCTGCGATGCGCTAGATTTTACCTGCAGCCCCTTCCGCTCGGCGGCCCTGACCCAGCGGCCTCACCATGGGGCTTCTTTAGAAATGCAAAATCTCCGGCTGCCCCCCCCAGACTCGCTGCATCACAACCCGCAGTTAAACACGATCCCCGGGGCAGCGGAGTGTGAGAAACCCCGGGCTGTGTTACGGTGTCCGCATGATGTAATGAGGCCCTCTCCTCCAGTAAGTTAAAAAACCTGACGGCCTAACCCGAGAAACGGTGAAATTGCCTTGAAACCTCCAGCCACCTCCCCCACCCCCCGCCCAATGCGCCGCGCCAATTGCACGATTATCTTCCCGCAGCGGAGACAGGGCTCAGTGTCAGGCCGGGTAAAAGGGGAGAGCCAGGAGGGGGAGACTCCGGGCGGGCGCTCTGCATTCCAGGTGGGCCCCAGGAGCAGGTGTGGCGGGAAGGCGCGAGGAGGGGGGCGACTTCCACGCAGGGGAGGGAGCTAAAGGGGACCTGGGGTGGGGTGCGCGCAGGGAACGCCGCGGGGGGCGGCTGGGGTGGGGGCCGGTTGCTCCGCCCGGGGCCCCGCGTGAGAGGGGGCACAGCCCCTCCCCTGGGGGGAGGCTGGCGGGCGGGGGGTCGGGCGCGGAGAGGGAGGTGGGTCCCGGGCCGGCGCGGGGGCGGGCGGCTCCACGGCTCCCCGCCCCCGGCCCGCCCCTCCGCGGCGCCATTTTGCAGGCGGCTGTCGCGGGGACCGGAGGCGGAGGCGGCGGCGGCGGCTGGCACTGCGGCGCCGAGGCGCGGCAGCAGGACCGGAGACCAGCGAGCTGCAGCCAGGTGAGAGCTGGGCCGCCGCGCCCCCCGCCCGGCCCGCGAGCCGCACCTGCCGGGCCGGGCCACGAGGTGCCCGCCGCGCCCACGAGGCCGGCCTGGCACGGCCCCCGCGCGCTGTCACCGGCCCCGCGGCGCGGCCTGCGCCCCCCAAGCCCCGGCGGGTTCCCCGGGTCCCCGCACCCGCGGGCCAGGGTGGCCGCGGGGTCCGTGGATGCCCCGCAACCCCCTAGCCTCCGCCGCCCCACCGAGCCGGGTCTGGCCCCTGGGCGCTCACCCTGGCCGCCCCGGGAGACGCAGCGCGCTCGGGCCCTCAGGCCGCGCCGCCGGGAGGCAAGTGGGTCCCCCCGGGACCGGGCTGGCTGGCCGCCGCCGCCTCCTCCTCCTCCCGGGCCCTCGGCCCACGCGTCTTGGGGTCGCTCTCTCCTCGTCCCTCCCCGGGAAGTGCGCGCGGGCATCCCCGCGCCCCCCGGGATTCAGGGCCATCAAGAGGGAGGCGGGGGGGGTGGTTTGCCTTGTACATTTTTTGCTTCCTTCTCTCCTACAAAGGTTGCGCCAAATAATTTTAGAAGCTGCTGCTCCGACCCTAGGGCCTTTCTCTCAGGCCTGTTCCCCCGGGGGTCGCGAATTCCCGTTGTTGCTACCTTGCTGGAAGGAGAAATTGACGTTCTTGAGTGTAATTACTTTAAGGGCTCAGAATTTTCTCCTTCCTTTAGACTCTGGATGTACCCTTGAGTGGGTAGCTGACAGGAACTCGGCCTACAGTCTGGGGGTTTTAAGCATGACTGATGAGAAATTCTTGATTGTCAGGGCAAAGGGTAAATGAGGGCAACTGCAGGTGGAAGAAAGTCACCCATAAGGGATTTCTAGGTCTGGGGTGTCAGCCGCGGCTGTTACTTTTATTCCTGCAATGCTGGAAGATGGGAGGGGGAAGATGCTGCCCCTGCTGACGTTTGGGTGTGCTGAGGAGGCCGGTGATGTGCGAGGACGCGGGACCGAGTCCCGAGGCAGTCTGGCTTGAGCTGTCATTAATTGGCCATGTGACTTCTCGCGGCCAGTTTTCTTCCTCTCTAAAGCCAGAGACAAGAATCAGGGGTAGCTGAAGCTTTTTTATTTTTATGTTTTTGCATTTGAATGCTGTTGGGCTGGGGCCTCACTGTTTCCAGTTGTCTACACCTGCCTTTTTAGCTTAGCACATGACTTTTCCCTGAATAGCCCCGGAGGTGTTGGAATCGGGTGAGATTTATAAAGGGCCTTTCTGCTCAGACATTCTGAATTCTGTCCTGGGTTATGGTTGGCTGTCTTAGGATCACTTATGAACCTGTCAGTCGTGATCTCTTTTCCCTTACCAGAATTTAATAGCTTTTGGGCACCAGCCTCTTAAATGGCTGGCAGTGGGTATGCAGTGGAAGGCCTCCTAGCACACCTGGTAGTTGAAAGGAGGTGAGCAGGTGTGTCTAGCCCAGCTACCTGTTTCACCTGACAGCCTGAGCGTGAGCTATCTGCTTTCTAGACCATTTCCTTTGTCAAAATGGCGACCGGCTTCTTTCTTTGAATTCCAGGGCATTTCTCTTGGTTTTTTTTTGCTCTGAGTGGGGAGTGATTTTTTTTTTTTTAATTTTTTTATTTAAAGGAAAGGTATTTCAGGAACTTTATATATTGATGTTTTTCCCCCCCCTTTTCACATGGTTGCATGGCAGTTGTATTTTCTGACTGGCAAAAGTTAATTAAGCTGAGTTTTAATGTTTCTTAGGATGTTTCAAAAATGCTTGTGAAAGTACGTGGGTAGAATATTGGAGAGGGTTTTGCTAGGTTTCATGCCAGCCACACTGCCTGTCGCATTTGTGCAGCAAAGCCTAGAGGTCTTAATCCTGCAGGAGTTAGATCTCACAGGAGCAAGCTCACATAGCCTTCCATTAGTCCATCTGCTAATTTGGTGTCAGGTGCTGTTGAACAAATAAATGTGGAATCACACTCAGTCTTCTGCCCTTAAGAAGGCCAAGGTCTGGGGTATTAGAAATCCTGAGTTGGCTATTGCCCTCCTGTTCAGTGTCTCTAAAGACAAACCTGGGATCCTCTTGGGGACTCCTTTCTGGCACCACTCGTATCTTGAGGAATTTTCCCATTTTGCTTAAGGGAACTAAAAGTCAGCATCATAATTTGCAATTACATAGTGCTTTGTACTTGTAAATGAAAGCTTTTTTTTTTTTTAAGATTTTATTTATTTGTTAGAGCAAGAGAGTGTGGGAGCACAGGCAGACAGAGTGGCAGGCAGAGGCAGAGGGAGAAGCAGGCTCCCTGCGGAGCAAGGAGCCTGATGTGGGACTCGATCCCAGGACCCTGGGATCATGACCCGAGCCGAAGGCAGCTGTTTAACCAACTGAGCCACCCAGGCGTCCCTGAAAGCTTTTTAAAAACTTATTTTTATTTAATCCTCTTAGGCTTTTTTTTAATTTAAACATTTTACAGTCCTTCCCTGACCTGTTTCCGGGCCTTGCCTATAAAACTCCCAACACACTAGTCTGTTCCCATTGCCAGATAACCTCATTAACTCATTTTTTACTCCCTGCTGTTCTTCCAGTTATTCTCTCCTCAGAGGGCTGCCGGTCTGGGCTTTTATTCTTTTGCTAGAGAACATTCCTGCTCCAGGTTAAGCTGTGGCTGTACATTATTGACTTAGGATTTAAAGGAGCTCTGTGTGTGCTTTATGGCACTATCTTCCTTTTCTCCCCAGCTTTGCTTTTTCTAGCTTGTTATTTTGTCACAGGTTCTATATTGACTGTCAAATCATGGAGGTTTGCTTGTAGCTTCTACTTTTCACAGGACTTTGACATATTTAGTACATTTATTGAGAACCTGCTGTGGGCCAGGCAGTGTTTTTGGTGCTCTGGTTGCTGCATGGAGATTCTCTGCATTCATGGAGCTCACACTTGGTGAGGTGGCAGACAGAGATTTCATGCCCTGAAGAAGAATCTGGCAGGATTGAGGGTACTAAGTGTTGACATTGAAGCTGAAATTTTAGGAATGATAGACAGGAAAGCCCTGAGTCACCTCTGAGTGAAGATGTGAAGGAAGTAAGTCATGTGGATATCTGAGGGCAGAACATTCCCAGTTGAGGAAGCAGCAGGTGCAAAGGCCCTGAGGCAGAAGGAGAGCATTTGGTTTTACGGTCAAAGAGACCGTTGGAATTGAATCATGTAAGGCCATGTGACAGTAAGGCTTATGGATTTTACTTTGACGGGAATGGGAGCCAATGGAAGGTTTTGAGTAGAGGGGACAGGGACTGACCTAGGTTTTAACAGGGATGTGCTGGTTATTACTGTTTGAGAATCAACTAGAAGCAGGGAGGGTGGGGTGGCACTGTGTCCTCCTGGGTGAGGGCTGAGGGTGGTGGTCAGACCAGGGTGATGGGAGGGGATTCTGAGGTGGGGCTCAGGAGATGCTGATGGACCAGATATGTGAGGGGAGGGTAGTGGTGTACCAAAGAGAATTGAGGGCAGTGTCCAAGTTTCTGGCCTGTGCACTTAGAACGAAAGGAACCCAAGATGTCCAAGGTAACAAAGGGCATGGTGGCCAACCTGACAAGCCCAAATGCAGTCAGAAAGGGAGGGAGTGGGTGTTTGGGGGGAGCTCCTCCTTCACGGAAATGTAAATCTTTTGGGGCACTTCTGTTGTCCGTAGTCTTAATTCTCTCCTCTGACCTTGGCAAGTCCCTGACGTCAGGTGTAGGTGGCTTCTAAGGCCCTCTGAAGACGTACTTCATGAAGGAGAGTTCCATCTACTCTCTATTCAATAGCCCTTTCTTGCGCCCCTTCAGTGGGGTTGCATGTTAATGCAGGCCTAGAATCTAAAGATAGCACAAAAAGCAAAGAGCTGGATTCATCAGAAATGACCTTTGAAAATTCCTATTTCCCAGGAAGTGTGGCAGGCATGAGCTGCACATAACAGTTTGTACCGAAACATCTGAGTCTGTGAATGTGACGAACACAGGTGAGAACCATGGCTAATTTCACAGAAGATCATATTTGGGACTTGGTCCAGTGTCCTCAATGCCGGCCACTGCTCGGAAGCTTTAGGTCGCAGCCTCAGACCCTTCTGCTGGCCGTCGTTTGACTGCAATTCTTACTCACCATTGAGTAGCCTCAGTGCAGCCTCAGTGAGGGGGTCCCAGTTGCCTTGGGCCGTTGCTTACCTGGCCACCCCAGACCATGGCTTTCTCTGGTCACTGGTCAGGAAAGCCTTCTTCATCCGCAGTTCTTTCCATAGGTTCTGCCCTCGGGTCTGTCGCCTTGGGGTGCCTCTGAAGCCCGCTGGAGGCTCACCCATCCCGGCAGCCACCTCCCTCTCAGTTCACTCCGAACATGAGTCTTACACGGCTGAGTCCCCCCATCTTCTAAGATGAATGTGAGTGTGGTTTAACAAAGCGCACTTCTTGTCTGGGAGCCTCTCCAGGCAATAGAAGGGACCCGAGAAAGACTGGGCGGAGGCTCCCAGGAGCTTGGGCCCATGCAGATGGGCTCAGTGCTGAGCACTGGACATTAGTATGGTTAGGCAACTGGCAGGTAGAGGCGTCCTGGGCTGCATTTTATTGATGAAGAAATTGGAGTTTGGTTAACTTACCTGAGTTAACTCCTCCTAGGTCTTGATTTCTCCTCTTCAGCTCCAGTAGTCCAGGGATAGAATGCTTTTCCCAGGTTTTGTCTGAAACTCTGGGTTTGTAAGTCCCTGTTGGCATAGAAGAGGGTAGAGAAGCTAGAGTTGGGTTCCAGGTGCTCTGCCAGCACCTCCTGTGATCACGAATGTCCTTTGATCATGGCAGCCCCGGGTGATGGCCATTACTCTGGTTCCCACTTCACAGCTGAGGAGGCTGAGGTCGGGATCATTCTTGCTTTGTACCCCCATATTTCTCTTATCTGGCCTGTTTTTCATTCCCGGCTATGGTGTTCCTCTGTGTACCCCAGCTTGGTCCTTGGTTTCTCCTTTTTTTTTTTTTTTTAAGTTGTTTT